GTGCTAACTCCTGCTAACTTGCCTTTTTAACTAGTTGTCATATTGACTATTCCTTTATGGTGCTTATTTTAAGACGTCCGTGGCTCCTAGCACCAGTCGCTCTAATCCGCAGTCGTCGAATTCTGACAGCATTCGAACGTTGTTCGGAAACGATGTCGAAAGAAAGGTAAATGTTTCCACTTTTATGCAAGACTCCTTCATTTGAATTTTATTTCATAGGAACCTCCCGATAAAGCTATTAGCCCTGATTCGGGCGTACACTCGGCAGAAAACGATCCAGGCGACGAGAACGATGTTCATTCTGCTCAAAATATCATTAATTTAATAACCAAGTCAGTTACATTTTGTTGTGGCTTAGTAGATTTATCATCCGTTTTGGTTGCATTACTTGTGACGTATGTCCATTTTCTTCAGATTGTCCCCACCCCTTTCGCCAATAAAGCAACGACCTTCTGACAAGAAGGCAGAAAGAGAACGCAAGGAAATGGAGACCAAAGAGAAGGTGAGCAGAGTAAAAGGAATTAACTGATGCTCGAAACCATTTATTCTGCGTTTTTTACATCTATTTTTTATTATTGTTCAGGAAAGGATCGAGGCACAAAGGAGAGAAGAGGAAAAGAGAAAAGAAGAAAGAGAGCGTTTGGAGAGGGAACAAGCTGAACGCGAAGAACGATTGAAAAATGAACGTATGGAACATGAAAGAAAGGAACGAGAACGAGAAGAGAAGCAGCGAAGGGCGAAGGAGCGCGAGGAAAAGGAGCGCCGAGACAGAGAACGTGAAGAAAAGGAGCGAGAAGACAAGGAAAGAAAAGAGAAGGAGCGGGAAGGAGAAGATCAAACGTGAAAAAGATCAGGAAGAGAAGCTTCGCAAGGACAAGGAGGACGAAAAACTTCGGCGGGATAAAGAGAGAGAAAAGAGGAAGGAAAGGGATCGACATTCCAATGAAAAACGATCTAAAGATTCTGAGCGAAAGGATAGACCAAGTGAACGATCGGATAAGGTGAAGACAGGAGATGGCGAACGGCAGAAGCCCACGGAAAATGAGCACAAGTCTGATGAACACGTGAGTAAATATAATATTTATTTTCAATGCCACTTTTAAGCTTTTTCTTGCACAGTCCGAAATTTGACGTTTTAAACTATCAGTGAATTTATTCGTGGTGTCATTTTTCAAACCGTTCATTCGCAGAAATATCTTAAGCATCGCCTACAGAAATGAATTAGAGAAAAAAAGGGTAGGACTTTCGGTATTGTTTTGAAGTTATAAAAAGTTTATGAAATTTGAATCATTGTTTACATTGTATCTGCATCTTATACAGCCTCCAGCACAATGAGAAGCGGAAATTTAGCAGTAACGTATCTTTGACTTCATTTTTGACTTTTTTGGCTTGAAATCATACCACTTTGTCGCACCTTTTTTTATAATTGATCCCATTTGTTTATTTAGGAATCTCTGCCAAATAATTTTTTATTCTTAGCCGTGTTTAATCATGGCATACTTCAATAGCAGTTGGAAAATGACGTTTGATTGAAGCTTTTTTTTCGTTAAGGCGTCACGTACGGATGGCTTACGTGGTGAGATCACCCTAAAAGGTCTGGATCGTTCCAAATTAAATCAACTCATGGAGATTGGTAGAAGAACTGGTCGAATGAAGGTAGGATGTTTTTGTCACGTCATTCTGTTCCAGTGGAGTATTGTTTCAACCACAGGAAGAGCGAAAAGAGGACAGGAAGGAGGAGAGGAAGGAGGATCGAAAAGATAGGAGCGATAATAATGCCGAGAAACGCAAGGATAGGAAAGAAAAGGATAGGAAGACGAAGGACAAACCTGTTGATGAGTTGGACGCTTTGAGACGGGAAAAAGAGTCCAGCACAAAAAGCAGTCCGGTGAGTAGGAATAGTGCTTTTTTCTCGTACTTTGACTGCAAAACTGCTTTTGGTCATTGTTAATGCAACGTGTTTTTAGTGCATGCCACGTGCATCCAGCTCTCAGTCGCATGAAGGCGGTGAACATTCTCAAAATCACCGCCCGTCATCAGTCGTCGGCAGCCATCCTTCACGGAACAGTTTCGAGTGTGCAGCGCCGGAATGCGTACCAACGAAACCTTCGCGTCCAGTGAAACCAGAAGAGGGTAGCACTGAAATGTTATACGATTTCTATCAGTCTATAGGAAAATCGCGAAAACGGAAAGGTGACGCTGAGGTGAGCTCCAGTCTGAATAGTCTCCCTTGAGTAAGTATAATGAAAAGAACCAAAGAGCCCATGAGTGCTGTTATTTCTAGGGTGACAAAGTCAACAAAATGTTATTCTACCTCGACACATCTGTATATTTCCTTTTATCGGCAAAGCATTTCACGTCAGCAGACTCACCAGAGGTTCGCGGCAACCGCCAGTATTCAATCATTCGCGACACGAATGATCTGCTCAAGTTGGTTCTGCTCTATTTTCTAACTTCTAGCATTCATTTTTGACTTATATACGTATTTTTGAGTGCATTCGTTCCACCACCTTATTTTTTGTTAGGGCTATCTTTTGCTACGCTATTGCTAATTCTTTGATTTCTCTCATTTTATGCAGTGTGTCCCTTCTAT